TATATATATATATTCCCTTTGTGCAGTGGGTGGAAACATTATTTAACTTTTAAAAAGATGGCATTTTCAAAACTACCAGCCAATGGAGGGCCAGATTGTGACTCTCTTACTCATGCTGCTTGAACAAGTAACCCTTCACCAGCATAAGGCATTCATAGTGTGGTCTAAATGATTACAATGTATCTACTCTTCCTTCATTGGGATTTGTAGGATTTGGTTCCAGTCTGTGGTCTCCACAGGGTCAAATATTCCATGTGTTTTAGGGTGGGGCACATTTAAAGTGTGGCACAAAATAGTCTAAATGGGACTTTTGCATTCAACAAACTAATTTGTAACTTTTGAGTGCATGTCTACTCTTTCTTAAATAACAGATTAATGACTTTCCTTTCCAGTTGGATATCTCCTATACTTAGAGCTTGCAAAAATGTCTGCTGATTTCCCTACCCCCCATCTATATATTGCTTTTTTAATCATGCTTGTAGTGTACTCTATACAATCTGCATGGATGTTTCAAGCATTTTAAAATATGTTAATAAGTTAGTACCTAATTAAGGTATGTTTTAAATGGCTTTTAAATCCTTATCATGGATACCTGCTAATATTGTGTTTAATGTTCAGTACCTGTATGTTTCTTTATTAGGAATGCCACAAGAAAAGATCATCATTATGGACCCAGTTCTTTCTACCTAGTGCTGCCTTGGTGCTGAGTACCCACCTGAGAGTTTGGAAGATTAGGGTGCTGAGCATGTTATGGAAGGTGCCCGGTACCTGGTAGAATCTTATACTCTCCGAACTTCATGACCATTTTGTCTAAAATAAAGTGGTGAAACTTCCTTTAAAAATTGTCCACATAATTTATGCTAGGGATGTATAAACTGGTTTGGATACAATATAAATAATTTTACCGCAACCTTAGTAACTTTGTTCAAAATGCAAGTACATCCTGTTGAAGAAAAATATTTGTCCATACATAAAAGCTATGTAGTTTTGTTAGTCTAAATTAATATTTGTTTTAGCAATAGGTGTAGAAGTTTGAGAAAGCTGCTGGAATCGATTGTGGAATGCAGAGAACTTTAAAATTATCCTCAGAATTAACATTATATTCCAAAAATCAGAGACAAATTCCAGAAAATAAATGAGTCATTTATTCAGCTCTTGGCAGGCAATACAGTGAATATGGAGGACAAGTAAAGGCAAATAGTGATAAAAGGATTCTAATATAACAAGAAAAACCCTGTAAATCTTTATGTGATGGAGGACTTGCACTTGTCTTTTTTTCCTCTGGGTTTTGTCTTGTCATATTTAGACTTCTGCAATTTCTGATTGCTTTGACCTGTTTTAGGATTTTAACTTTTCCATAATGGTGAATGAAGAAAGACTCTGTCCTTGAATATCTCTTTGCTTTCAAGCCCCAACATATAGAATGTGCAGATGCTATAAATGCCACATATAGCTTAGATTTTCTATTCCCTTCTCTGCTCCATTGAGAATAATTTGTTATAATTGCTGAAGAAGCCAGATTATTTGTATTTTTTCATGATGACAAGTGCTCACCCTTATTATTCTTGACTACAAATTCATGAAGGGCCCAGCACTAATAACCAAAATGAATATCATAGATATTTATGAAAACACAACCAGTAGGGTCACCATTTCAAGAGGAATCTTGCAGTGATATTTTTTAACCTTATATGCCAAAACCAAATGACAAACTGTCAGTATTTAACCTCCAGCCATTACACACAACAAAGAAAGAGAGAACTGTAACAGGGCTACCATAGAATATATGACGTACTCACTCAAAATAATATCTTTGAAACTTATAAGAAGTTTAGGAAGGAACAAAATGTTTAATACGTTTTTAGTTGCATCAAAACACAAAGACTGTATTTAGACTTGAAGACAGTTACAATGCTTTGCCAATTACTGAGCTGCCCAATTCTCATTTGACTCCAGTTGTAGGTCAGTTAACTCCAAAGATATTAATGAACTGTTGCTGATTGTAACAAGCTAAAACTCTAAGACTCATCAGAGGAACTCTCCTGGGCCAGTATTCCTTGTTCCAGGTTTGCCTACAAGTGTCCCTGTGGTGCATGGAACAAGGTCACTGCAGACAGAGTGATCTCAGATAGAACATAACATAAGAACATAAGAACGGCCGTATTGGGTCAGACCAAAGGTCCATCTAGGACAGTATCCTGTCTACCGACAGTGGCCAGCACCAGGTGCCCCAGAAAGGATGGACCGAAGACAATGATCAAGCGATTTGTCTCCTGCCATCCCTCTCCAGCCTCTGAGAGACAGAAGCCGAGGACACCATTTTATCCCCTGGCTAATAGCCTTTTATGGACCTAACCTCCATGAAATTATCTAGCTTCTCTTTAAACTCTATTATAGTCCTAGCCTTCACAGCCTCCTCTGGCAAGATAAAATTAGGATTTACAAAGAAGCCCATTCAGCAGACAGTGGTCTTAGGGTGAAATGTTTCAGCCAAAATCCAATATATTTTGGCTGAAAACCAAAATATTTGTATTGTCAAATGCTGCCACAGTGCCTCATTGGAGAGGTAGTTTGGTTATATTGTATATTCTCTTTGTAGGCTATGCTCCCTGGTTGGGCATGGTGTACCACAATCTTATTTATTTTTATTTATTTATTTAAATATTTTTATCCTGCCTTTCTATTTAAAATATTCAAGGCGGATTACAAAAAAACCCACAATACAAATATATATAAAAATTTAAAATATGAGACCCCAGAGGGACATAACCAGGTAAAAACATATAGAAAGGAGGAACACACACATACAAATTCAAATATTAATAAAAGCATGAATAAAAAGGGTAGCTTTAGACTGATGCCGAAACAACGCTAGTGTTGGCGCCATGCGAGTATCCCGAGGAAAAGAATTCCACATCCTGGGAGCATCTAGAACAGGTGCCATGCCACATTCCTGAAGAGATGGCCTCCTGATCCACAGGACCTCAGTCTTATCTGGGTTCAACTTCAGCTTATTTGACTTCATCCAAACCATCACTACCTCCAAACACCGATTTAGATCAGTCACCGCCACACCTGCTTCTAATGTCACAGGGAAATAGAGTTGGGTGTCATCTGCATATTGATGGCACTAATCATCAATTTCCAAGATCAATCTGAAGAAGCAGAAAGGTTCTATGGAAAAAAACCCATTGTTGGCTGAAGACCCACAGAACCCTTTAAAAAATAAAACTATATCCTCCCCCAAGAAAAAAAGTCCACACACATATATGATATGTTACCAGTCATCACCCTCCTCATATGTTGCGTTCCCGTTGTCTAGATTGTCTTTGTTGTCTATTTAGGATTTGTCTACATTGCGAGTTTTTGTGACAGAAAATATGCTAATGAGAGACTCATTAGCATAAGTCACAATATCATTAGCATATTTTCTTCTGTTTCTTTTTGCGCAAGGGGTGTTTGCGCAAAAAGAAGCCATGTAGCTGCTTTCGTTTTGGGCAAAAAACCCATTTTGCGCAAGATCCATATGCCTGTCCCAGAGAGGACAGGCATACGGATCTTGCGCAAAATGGGTTTTTTGCCCAAAACGAAAGCGGCTACATGGCTTCTTTTTGCGCAAACACCCCTTGCGCAAAAAGAAACAGAAGAAAATATGCTAATTATATCACAACTTATGCTAATGAACCCCTCATTAGCATGTTTTCTGCCACAAAAACTCGCAGTGTAGACAAAGCCTTAGTGTATAAACTATTATTGTGGGTTTGTTAGTGCACCGAGGACAGAGAATCTTGATTGTAATTGGGTCCTCTATATATTACTGGAATATAAATAAATAGTAAGTACTCACAATACATTACCTGCTCATGGTGTTGGCTGAATAACAGAGTAGATATGTGGCTTTTAATTGTGTTCTTCCTGCAGAAGTAAATAGGACCAAAATATTTTTCCCTGACATTTTACAGTATGCTGTTGTTCATTCTTTCTCTCTCTGTCTCTCTCTCCTGAAGATCTGTATTGAAGGATTATCCAATTTCAGGCTGCTGTAGGTTTCAAGTTTTTCTGTTTATACATTCTGTACGTTGTTACAGCACATTTGTTGTAGCGATGTTTTTGTGGAATAACTTTAGAGCAGAATAGGAAGGAAGGAAGCTCTCATTCCTAAGTGGGGAGACATGGCAGTTGATCAAGTAAATGCTTAAAAGTGAATCAATTGTCAAAATTGTGTTTCCATAAGTGTGCCAATTGCTGTAAAAGGAAGGAAAAGCCAGCGAGTGACCTTATAAGCCTTCAATATTAAAACAGTCCTTTAGAAAACACTTTGCTCTGCTGTTTTCTTCTTGGAGTGGACAATTTTTTGGCGAGGATACATTTCAACATATTCCCTGTCTCTAGGATTTGGAGTTCTTTTGGTAAAACTCTAGGAAACTTATTATGGTGGGCGTATCATGTCTACAGTAGAGATAAGCGGAACTTCTTAATTATGTGTCATTGGCCCCATTATTGCTAAAGTCTGATATAGATTCTCTAAGCATAGTGATAATGGTGAGTGTGTTTGAAGCTGGAAACCTGAGTTCTGTTCCCACCATTTCCACAAAATTCATTGCCATGATGTGCTTCAGAGAGACAATTATGAAGTTACCAGATAGACATGATGTTACAAATTTCTATGGCTGTCACGTTACCGAATTTGAGGGAAGCAGCCAGATCACTTCTGCTGGTTGTTGAATAGAAGCTTACTGACTGCTAATCCTATGTACGCTATTCATGTGATTGCATAATGTCTGTTTATGTAGTTAGGAATCTGTAATCTGTGTGGATACTGACTATTTCTCTGTATGTGGTTGAGCATTGGGCAGAGTTCAGCCTATGGACATGCTAATTAGCGAGGCCCTGTGGGACAATGGCACTCAAGCAGAGGGCAGCCAGCAGAGAACACAGAGATAGGCCACTGGCCAGGTGACCTGCTGCAGCCAAGATGAGATGAGGAAGGACGTATAAAGAGTCCATGTGGTCGACTCCATCTTAGTACTCAGCTCAGCACTTCATCCCAGAGGCAGCAGTGCAGGGATCGAAGAGCCGGAAAGAACTGTGGACCCATTCTGATCTAGGATGCTCATCAAGGACTTTTAAGCCAGCAGCTGTAACATCTCTGCCAGAGCCTGCATCGAGAATTGGGAGATTCGATGCATGTAATGTACGATGCTTTAGCAACCTCACTCTCATGCTTTTCTTTCTTGTGGTAATAAACCTTTAGATGATAGATTCTAAAGGATTGGCTCAGCGTGATTTGTGGGTAAGGTCCAGAGGGCAAATTGACCAGGGATCTGTGGCTGATTTCTTGGAACCGGACAGAACTCATTCGGGGTAGGTGGTATTGGGTGCTAAGACCCCCCACCAGTGTATGAGGCCCGGGGCCATCTGGGGCATGGATATTGCTGGGGTGTCGGAGAGGTTTTGCTCGCAAGGTTTCAGGCAGGCTTCTGAAGCGCTCTGTGGGACTGGTTTGTGGCCTGTTTGAAGAGGTCACCAGTCTGGGGGCTGTAAGGAGCCCCGAAGTTGAGCAATTCGCCCTGAGCAGACACCCTCAGCTGTGCCCAGACACGGCCCGGTCTGTCACAATGGCATTGCAGCAGAGTTATCTTATTCTGTCACAGTGAGCCTCAGGCCCAATCATCTGTTTGTCTTTCAAACTGCTTAAAATAGGTAGAGTTGAAAATATTTAGTCATTAAGTCTTAATACTCAGGTGCAAAGGACAGTATGCAAAGAAAGTTTACCTAGGGCAGGCATGTCCAAAGTCCGGCCCGCGGGCCAATTGTGGCCCGTGTTCTGGTTTAATACGGCCCCCCGGGTAATTTGGCAATATCTATCTTTTATGGCCCCCAACGAATCCATATGTATTGAGATGAATACATTGTAAAATCTCAGTTAATGTCAGTTGGTCTAAATCAGTTATAAATATATTTGGACACAACATGTATACTTGGTGTTATGTTCCTGTTCATATTTTTTGAACTTAAAAGTTGACAGACAACCTTTATTACCAATAATATGTAATGTACTTTACAATGTTCCTGACATATATTTCAGCTTCCTGGATTTTTTTTTCATCTGGCCTTCAGATATGAAAGGCAGAGTGATTTAACACCTGTTTAGATTTGTCATCCATGTGACGAAATGAAAAGTATGCCATTTGCAATAAACCTTGCATAAAATAGTTAATTTGCATTTAATTTTAATGGTTCAAAGAATGTCAGGCAAAATGGTCGGCCCTCACGCATGTTCACTTCATCAAATCTGGCCCTCTTTAAAAAAAGTTTGGACACCCCTGACCTAGGGCATCAAAAAAGCCTATGAGGCCAAATGTAGGTAAGTTCTATACCAATCAGATGACAAGGATTAAAACAGGACATGACATATTTATGAAGATGCTATTATTTTTAGTCCCTTTGCAGAATTTTTAAATTAGTTACAGAAAAGAGCAGAAATGTCACGTGTACCAGTTTCTTGGAAGTGGCATATGAGATGCATTACTTTTTGCGTCACTCAGATATACGTGAAGTTTTTGAAATACCAATACATGGAAAAGTAGTGCACTTAATGAGCATTAAGTTCCTGCATGAACAGAGTAGAGAAGTTGGAAATACGAAGTTTAAATTTTAATCTTAAGCTTAAATCAGTGCATGACAGCTGGAGGAATTTTAGGAAAATAAAAAGTAGCCTTAAAAATAAATTCAGCCACCATAGCAGGAGAAAAACATATAATTCACTTTTCCTCAATATTGGGCTACGTCTACACTGGCATCCCTTCAAGAAAAGGGATTCTAATGTAGCACATCGGAATAGCAAAATCCGCGGGGGATTTAAATATCCCCCGCGGTATTTGCATTAACATGGCTGCCACTTTTTTCCGGCTTGGAGATAAGTAGGAATCAAAGTAGGAATTTTTTTCTGGCTTCAAAGTAGGAATAAGAGATCCTCCGGAATAGGGCTTATTTTCTGGAGAATCACGTCTAGACTGGCGCTTTTCTCCGGCTTATCTCCAAGTTGGAAAAAAGCGGCAGCCATGTTAATGCAAATACCGCGGGGGATATTTAAATCCCCCACGGATTTTGCTATTCCGATGTGCTACATTAGCATGCCTTTTCCGGAAGG